CGCGTCGCACGACACCTGCGACACCGCCCCTTCATTCCGTTCTTCGCACACGCCCTCGCAGACGGCCTCGCACATCCACCACCACCACCACCACCACCACACACACGCCTCGACCGCCACCTCTCGCAGACCATGCTCGTCAAGACACTCGTCGTCCTCGTCGCCTCCCCCGCACACTGCCTGCGAGACGCACCGCACCCCCCGCCGGAAACACTCCGCCGCTACGTCGCAGCCTGCCTCGACGCCGCTGCCCACGTCGCCCGCAACCTCAACCCCTCCGCCGTCGAGCCGCTTGCTACTCACGCCGTCGCTACCCACCTGGCCCACCTGCTCGTCGCCCTGGCCGCCCTGCCGGAACCCGCAACCCCACCCGCCGCCCTTGTCCCGCTTCTGTCTTCGCTCATCGCCCTGCTAGCGTGCCCCGCCACCGCCGACGACGCCCGCTACGCTCGCTATTTCTACAAGCAGATGGTCCCCGCGCTCCCCGTCGTCGACCGCGTCCTCCGCTTGTTCCCCGCCCTCGCCCGATCGCAGCTCGTCCCCGCGATCATCGCCGCCCTGGCCGCCGACGACCCGCTGGTCGATGATGACGGCTTTGCGTGGGACGTCCCCATGGCCGTCGAGCACCTCGACATCAAGAGCGCTACCCTGGCCCTCGCTAACCTTGTTGATCTGGGCGACGCCCTGTGGCACTTTGAGGATCGGAAGGCCCTGCTCTCGTTTGTCGCTGTATTGTCCAGTTTGCTGCAGAGGCTGCCCAACCAGGTCGTCGTCCTCACCGATGACCAGGCTGCTGCAGATGCCGCCTTTGAGGAGCTTGCTGACCTCCACGACGAGGAAGAAGAACACATCGCCCATGTCCAAACCCTCCGCCCTGTCATGAAGCGCATCACCACCTCGCTGAAGCGCATCGTCTCGGAGGATACGGTGCGCAAACTCCTGTCGGCCGCCGTCGAAGAGGGGCGCCACGCCGTCGTCAAAGTCTGCCAGATGTTCAATTGCCTCACCCGCAGGGACAAGACCCTCGACATGGCCTTCAATAACGTCATCGCCTTCTGGCCCCGCCCGCGTGGCCCCACGAAGAGCCCTCACGTCCTCAGTTCTCTGTGGCAGCTCTGCTTGCGCGCAAAGGAAGGGAGCCCCATCATCGATACCGACCTATCCACACACGCCTTGCCGCTGCGCGATGAGGCGGGGCCTGTACTGCGCGTCTTTGCCTCCTCCTATTCCTACCTCCTCTTCATCCAGGACGAGGAGGAGCTGTTTCACGGCAACTGGCCCTTCTCCATGGACAAGGTGCGTGAAATCGTCCTCGTGTTGAAGCACTACTTGTTTGCTGCCCTTGACGTCAGACCAACAAATGGATTGGCAAAGACCAATACGGTTGGCAAACTTGTGCAGGAGGAGCCACAGCTCTTGACAGAGATTTCGCATTTGCTCTCGCGTCTGTACGTTCATGATTCTCGCAGACCATTTCGCACTGGCGACAACTTTTGGGTGGCCGGCCAAGGGCTCCTGACCTCCGAAGCCTTCATCTCGTCGGCCGTCGAGGCTTGGCCGGATTCGAAAGCCAAGACGAGTCGCTCTGAATTTGGCTATATGGGGTCCGAACGGGCGGCAAGCTTGCAAAACCTACGAAAGTCACCGATGAGCGGAGCCGGCGAACTGTTGCGGGTTACCCCGTACCTGGTCCCGTTCTCATCGAGGGCAAAGATTTTTCAGAGGTGGATTGCTAAAGGAAGAGACGTGGCAAACGGCGGTGAGCAGTTCTTTCCTGGGTCGCGGAGATCCGTGTCTGTTCGACGAAAGCACATTTTCCAGGATGCTTTCGAAGAACTCAACAAGATTTCAAACCTGAAAGCCACTATCCGAGTCAAGTTTATAGATGAACATGGCCTGGAGGAGGCTGGGATCGACGGTGGAGGCGTGTTTAAAGAGTTCATGTATGAGGTCCTGAGATGGGGGTTTTCTCCCTTCTCATACGGGCTCTTCAAGGCCACCCCGGATGGGCATCTGTTCCCCAACCCGGACGCCCCAATTGCAAACGAAAACTTCAAAGTTGAATTCGCCTTTCTGGGTCGACTTCTTGGGAAAGCAATCTTTGACGGAGTCTTGGTCGACATTCCTCTGGCACGATTTTTCATATCAAAGATTCTTGGGCAGTTTTACTACCCCAGTGATCTCAAGTCACTCGATCCGGAGTTGCACAAGAATATGCAATTTCTCAAAAACTGTCCACCAGCCGTGGTTGAAGACTTGGGCCTCAATTTCACGGTGGCTATCAACGCCTACGGTTCCGTGAAAGAAGTGGAACTAGTTCGTAACGGCAAAAACATTTCAGTTACCGCAGAGAATAGAATAGAATACATGCATCGCGTTGCCGACTTTCGCATGAATAAGCAAATCAAAGAGCAAACCAAGGCTTTTCTTGGGGGGTTCTCAGAGATCATCGCTCCCCAGTACATCCGTCTATTTTCTCACGAGGAATTGCAGTTGCTTATTTCAGGAAAGACGGGCAAAATCGATCTCGACGACTTGCGCCGTCATACAACATACTCGGGAGGATATGATGAGAATACAACTGTCATCAAGTGGTTCTGGCAGGCTATGGCCGAGCTAGATGCAGAGGACCAGAGTAAGATGCTTCAGTTTGTTACGTCATCCCCGCGCGCCCCACTCCTTGGCTTTTCGTATCTAGACCCCGGCTTTTGTATCCACAGAGCCGAAGGGGACGTCCGACTCCCCACAGCTTCAACATGCATGAACTTGTTGAAGCTCCCAAAGTACAAGTCTTTGGAAGTCGTCCGACAAAAACTGCGATACGCATTACATTCGAATGCTGGTTTTGACCTTAGTTGACGAAGCCGATGTCAACTTGTTAACTGAATTCTTCAAGCAGGGAAACAGTGGTCTGTGGTGTGAATATTGCAGTGTTCTCAGGGGCTGTATGGGCGACCATAAAGAAACGGACTGATCACTCGATTCAGCATCCCCAATCCGCGCCGCCTCATTTTTCCCATTGTAGAAGAAGATGAAACGTGAAAGAGAGCACATGGCGATAGAAGAGAGAGTGAGAGAACCACAACGTTAACATGTCAAAAGTGCTTTATTACGATGGTGACTGTATGGGGTTGTTTTGTCCAAGTTCTTCTGCGCCTGGAAGAGTAAGCACATAGCGACAAGAGACACATCGACATTGAATAGACAACGAACGCTCGGATTGTCTCTGCAGCCTTTCGATACCATACCATGAAGGAGTAAGCTTTCATTCATTTCCTGTTGCGACTTCACAGTGGACGAGATGCAAGCTTTTGCGCGATGTATTATATACACACAGGAAATACAGCACCCATTTCTGTAGTGTCCGAAAGCGTAGAATTAGCAGTAGTTGTCAGCATTTGCACATAGTTCACGTATTTTACCAATCCCCATCCCATAAATAGAGGATTTGTACCATGCTTCATGGAATGTACACCATGGCACTTTAACTGGGAGGTTCCATTGCTTGTTCGACTTGTAACTCTGTCGGAAGCACATTCTCACTTTTCAAACCCGACGCATGTGATAAAGGTATCAAACATGATACCTTTATCACAGGGTATCATAGGGGCATATCTTTGCACCTCTCGGGTGTCAACACAGATGGCATGACCCCGACACGTCAGCCCACTACACTTCCAAAAAAAAAAAGGGTCAATTGCGTGTGCTCATCTTTCTCTAAGCAAAATACATGAGCAGCAGGAATCTGTATCCTCACTGTGTTATGCACTGCCGTCTAAGGGTTGTACAGAGAGAGGGCTGTTATTTGTAGTAGATACCATTTCTATAGACAACCCTATACTGTATGTGCACTCGGCTTTGTCATCCTTTGAGGCATTTTAAATTTTCTCATGATCTACTCACATGATTTGGATTCTGTTTTCTGACACTTGAAGCAATGAACATTCCAGAGCTCATGTTATCGTATGACTTCTTGGGAAGTCTTCATTGCTTTCTCGTGAAAAGCTCTCAACTACCGAATGCCTATAGTTAATCATACCTTTTGTTGAGCCAATCCAATAAGCATAGCTTTCGCGGCTTGTCTGAGTTGTATTTTATGCAAACAAAATGGACTAAAGAGCTGCAAAAATCGTAGTCATTCATAAGAAAATATAAGGTGTAGAAGAGAGAGCTACAAAAGAAATCTAATTTGCGCTTTTTCACGCTATGATAGCTAATAACGGATAGACACTAAAGGGAATGCAATCAATCTAGGATACCGAATGCCAGCTCTTCTTTTTAAGATATACATGTATGTATATACCACGAAAGCTGCTTGTTTCCCAAGACTCTTCGTCGTCGGAATAGTAAATTCGCATTCGCTATCCAAGCGAAGTTATTTTCCCAGGAGCTCGGATTGAGGTCGTTTTAAAAAAAGGACAGGACGTTTTAGACTCAATACATATGCATCTTTTGACGCCCTACTGTGTCCATTTCTAACAATTTTGTCTAGGATAAGAAAAGACTCTGTGATGAATCGTGTATTGATAGGCAGAAAAAATCGACAAGCCTCATTTTTTGTGGTCTCTGAGTGGACGTGGTAGACTTCTACCCATTCGAAACGGTTCTCATGAAGGACTCGCCACGCCCACCCTCCAATTCTGCTTTATGCAAACTTCGCAACGGACTTCCACGAAATATTGAGTCTTGTGGCAACGACGTTGGCTCCAGAAGCAAGGAACGGTCTTTCTGAATCAGACAAAATTCTGTTGCATCTTCTTTGTGAGTACGAAAATGAGAATGAAGTCTTCAAGCAGAACCCTCGCACTTATGAAACCTAGGAGAAGAAAAACAGGCAGTGATTGCGCACCTACCGGACATGCGACGGATTCTGTCACAACTTTCTTTTCATCGAAAAACAAATGTCACAAACCCCTGAAGCATTGCCATTGGGTAGACCTGTACGGGGTTCCCTTTCCCCACCAGATGAATGGGGGGAGCGTGAAAATCAAAACGGATTAGGGCTTGTCGCGGGCGTCAGGAGTGATTTTACCATGTATCAAAACCTACTCGTGCGAGGCAAAGTGTCCGAAAACGTGTTTCGGAGAATATGCGACTTGTTTCCAAATCTCCTTCGGGATGTTCTTGATGTGGGATCAGCTCCACTACTGAGTCCTGCGAGTCGCCATTCTCTAAACAGGGGAGCGTTCCAGCGTGATGAGAAAAGCGAAGACTCTGATTTACAAGGATCTTTTCACTCTGAGACTCCAAGCAATCCTGAAAATTGTCTTCAAAAAAAGTTAGTAGACGTTAACAATAACACCGGGGTTGGCTCAGCCGCGCAGAGAGCTGATAGTGATGTGGAGCTCAAAGCAAGTTCTCTCACAGGGATTTCGGATGTCTGCGAAGATGGAGACAACGTTCATCCCGTCACGACTTTGCGAGACTTGTTTTGCGAGGATGGAGACTTTGTATCGGCGAAAGGGTCGCCCTCCAAAAGTCTGCATGCTAGTATAGAATATTCAAATAATGTGCAGACTTGTAAAGCTAGCGAGGAAGGAGGGGCACAACCTTTACTCTCGTCAGAAAGCATGCAGGCGGGGTTTCAATCACCAGGCTCGGCAAAATCACAACATAACAATGGAGCTGATGAATACGGTCCTCCAATTGTTTACGAAAGCATGTCTCAAAGCCTAAACTGCGCTTCTCTCGACAGCAAGCAAGAACAGTTTACTTTCGACCAAGGAGGCACCAACCTGAGCTCAGCAGCAAGGGAAGTGCAGACTGCGCCAGGAGTACATCCTCTCAGGCCACCGCTGCGGCGTCCCATTGCGAGTCGAAGGAAAGGAGTTGTTGACATTCCCCTTCTGCAACGAAACGAAACTGCTGGCCAACATGAGACAGAAAGAAAACCTCGCGTCAAAGATTCTCGCGAAGATAAATCTGATGAGAAAACGGAAACAACTCATATGGAACAAGCTCAAGCAAGCATAAGCGAAACTCCAAAGGGTGTAATTGTGCGAGGATTCGCAGACTACAAAGAAGTGCGAGGTATTCGCCGGGCTGAAATAGGGCAAATCATGAGTTGGGACCAGCTCAATTCTGCGACAGCCCCCAAACTCTCCATGAATCCCATTCCAAAGTCTCTGAAGCCTGCTTTGTTTCTCGATGACTGCGAGGATAGTCCTTCGTTGATGCCGTCATCCTTTCAGTCTGTTGCGGAAAAATCTAATCCGGGCAGAGTTGTTCCTCTAGCTAGTCCCGTGAGGAGGAAGCTTGAAAAGAAAATAGAAGGCCTATTTCCCTTGTCACCTGCGCATCGCGATGAGGGTAATAGCAACAAACTCCGCAATCTGTTCAAACTCACTCCAATGAAGGTTGAAAACGAACTGACAAGGTCCGGGAAGAGCCTCCTCGCATCCACACCTGTAAAGCGTGGCGAGGAGGCAAACAGCGGTGGGGGGCTACGAAACCTGTTTCCCCTTTCGCCTGACGCGCAGACAGACCCCACTCGCGAAGGACAATCTACCAAATCCACATTTCTCGAGGCTGGCGATTCCTCCGGCGTGCTCAATCGACTCGGGCACAAACTACGACGCGGTCCACATGGCAAGTCTCGCAAGCAACCAACGGATGCTCCCCCGGACGGGAAGATCTGCACCATAGTGAGGCCGGGGAGCATCCACGAAACGGTGTGCAAAATCTGTGTGGTTTGCAGAAACAGTTTAGGCTACGAGGTGCACGTGAAAGATAACGGAAAGAAAATTAAGGTGCAGTCCAAGGACGGGGAGGACGTAGAGTACTTCCGGGCAACGATACAGATCAGGGAGCTTCATGATACGTACATGCGATGCTCTGTTCACGTGAGACCAAGCCGATCAGATGAGATGAGGACTGGTGCAGGGGCGCTATGGAGGTTTTATCAAGCTCTTGAAAGCGAGTTGTAGAATTGTAGGTTAACGTACGCAGTCTATATAGTACAAAGAACATTTTCGACCAGCGCCGTTCGGGGTAAGGTCTTCACCACCCCTATACTTGGCACGCATCTTCCGAAAGATGCGCCTGCAGGAAGTGGGGTGCCCGGTTAGACATGGCACGCGAAATATAAGGTTACAAATCCAATCCCGTGCAGTCGTGACCTCGCGGCCCAGCGCAAAAGTCTCGCGACGATTTACATGCGCCGCAACAAAGTACAGTAGCACGCAATCGTCGCCAATTACCCTTTTGTCTCTCCCACGGAAACGGAGTCGAACCCTCTCGGCGTGCCCGGGCGTGCATGCGCGTCCAAAAGTTAGTGTTTTGCATAGTACAATACATACATGACCGGCACGACGGCAAGCGAAGCTACTTGAGAACGATGACGAGGAAGAGGACGATGATGGAGGCGATGGCGAGGAGGGTACAGAAGAAGACGCTTTTCCGTCTCTCCCTCCTGCGCTGCGTCCGCAGCAGCTCCCTCTGCGCGTTGGAGACGTTCTCGGCCGAGTCGCCAATGTTGACGTCAATGTAGTCGACCTGGACCTGCTGGTCGCCGACCATGACGGCGAGATCCCTGAAGATGGAATTGACGTCGTCGACCGAGGACTGAATCTCGGTGAGGACGGCGTTGCGCTCGCGCACATAGGTGTCCGTTGACTGCAATTCGCGCAGGGTAGCGGCCTCTGCGGCGGTCTGGCGCGGGGGTTTGAACAGCAATGCGTCCGTCTCGCGGGTGGCGGCGGCGGCGTTGACGAGTGCCTTCTCGTCGTCGAGGCGGACGGCGACCTGGCTCTCGGACCAGTCTTGGTTGGGCGGGTGGGGGTCCGGGGGGGGCATGTCCAAGGCGTCCGTCTCTGCCTGGACGCTCTCTCTCAAGGCGTGCGTGAACTCGGCGACGAGCTTCTGAAACTCGTGCTTGGGGGTTTGGTCGTCGACGGTGGCGGCGAAGGTGGCGGCGGCGCGGGCGATGTCGCGGTTCTGCTCGCGGAGCTGGCGGACGCGGTTGAG